CTAAAAGATGTTACTCAAAAGGTTTGATTTGATATATGATGATAGGATTGGTGTTTGGGCAAGATGTACTTCGGTTGCCAGTGCTCTGATGGATTTGATTTGCTTATCACAAGTGCCACTGATATTAGTTCTAATCAACCACCATTAACTGCTATCTAATTTTTTTTTATCGGTTTCAAAATTTTATATTAATTAATTTATATTAATCCGCGTCATACATATAATTTTAATAGATAAATCTCTCAGTATGAATTTTTTATATATATAAATACTCAAACTTAAAATCATACTTAAAAGATATCAACATACTTATAACTTAAGCCAATATCTGTTTATACTGCTGCACAATCTTCATTTACTCTTTTTTTCCCCTTTTTTTTCCACTTCTTTTCAGCTTTCACTTATTACCGCATCATGTCAAATGGCTAAGTTTGTGATAATTTCTTTTATGTAAATAGAACAGAAAAATTTAAAATTATAATTATAATATATAATCATAAGTATAAATTAAACACATAATTAAGATATTTTTATAATTATTAATATGAAATTAGTCACTCAAGATTATATAAGGATCACAGAAGAAAAATGTTAAGAATTCATCTAAAAGAACTCGAACAAAAAAATATGTTAATAGATCTGACTGCATCGGTAAATAAATCATAACAATGGATCAAACAATTGAAAGAACATCAACAATCACGAATCAGAGTCCAATGTCGTGAAAAAATTATCTTCGAACACAAATTGCATATTCGAATTCATCCAGGTTCAAAGCATAGAAGATTAGGAAGATAATAAATTAACATCATCTTGATCAGTCGAGGTGATGCCAAATCCAATCTTGAAAAAAAATTATTAAAATAAGGGTCAAATGATCAACAGTAAAAATCGAAAATATGCTAAAAGACATAAAAAAACAGGTCATAAAGATAGAAAAATCGTGTCATGAACGTAGAGTTATTAAAAATTAAAAAGAAAAATAGAATAAAGATGTGATATAAGAAAATAGATGAAGAACAAGAAATATCGACAATCGACAATCGACAATCAATATGACAAATCACAATTTATAGTTAGACGACGGTAGATCGATGTTTAAACTCTTTGTTTTCTATGAGGGAGGATGATATGTGGAGATGAAAAAGTCATCCCATTCTCTCTTAGAGAACTTATAGTAACCTTAATACAAGTGTCATACGTAGAATTATCATGGTTGTCAACATGTGAATAACATTTGTCGAATTACTCTCGTATGTTTCTATAAAAGTTAAGACTTATATTTTGAGTAGAGTCAAGTTTAAAAATTATATATTTTAAATTGTAGATTCTCAAGGCATATTCAAAGAATTTGACTTCAAATGATAATTTTCCACCTAATTATATTTCTTAATTTCATACAAATCTTGAATTCTAAGAAAGTATATGCATGAAAAACCAAATATAAAAGTAGGACACAATACGATACAATTAAACTATTTATAAATAAACTAAATAACATATAAATACAATCAAATATAATATATAATGTCAATAAAATCTTGATTTACTGATAAAATTGAAATCTTAACATTGACTGCTCGAATTTAAATCACATCATCATGTAAAAATGTATGTACGTGTAAATTTTGTCCCACCCTTTATACAATTTTTTATTAAATTATTTTGATTTAAGTTAAGATTTGCCTTTCCCTCTCCTTATGTAGAAATTATTAAATGGTTTCTTGTTATTTATTCTAATTTTCATAACTTGATTATGATCTTTGGAACTACACTCTATTATATTCAGCATAAATGAATAGTATGTCATTTAAAGTTTTAAATTTTTTAATACGTTACTAAGCTTATATTTAAAAAGTAAAAAATTACTAAGCATCATGTAATATACAAATTAGAGAAGTCTAAGATGCAGGGTTGAATATCCCATCAAATACAGCGAATGAAGATCAAGTGGGAAAGTTGGCATTTTCCCAAGAAGCCTTGACTATAGTCATTGTTAGGAAGAATTCATTTGTAGTCATTATCACACATAATAAATGCAATGATGTAACCTCTTATCCATAGATCAAGAATTACTTTCAAAGGGAGAGACCCTTAAGTGGACTACACACTTCTTTCTTTTCTTTTATTGCACTTTCAATTTTAAGGATTCGTTTTGATCAATCTAAATCGATCCACGTTATATATTTAATTTTGATGAATGAATCTCTCAGTAGAGATTTTTTATATATACAATGATTCGAACTCGAGACCTTTATTAAACAATATCAAACTACTTATAATTTGAACCAAACTCTATTGATATACACTTCTTTCTTTAGATCCCTAATTTAAACTATTAATTTTAAATATTCATATATTTTAAGTCAAGATAAGATTTAATTATACAATATAAAATTTGTTAATTTTATATAATTTTAGAACCGTTGAATGAATGGAAAGAGACTACTGAGACTACGAGTAAAAGATGATAAGATATTTACTGAAACAAATAATGAATTAATCTCAGTCTTCTATTTTCACTCATCCAATGATCCTAAATCTTTGCAAAATTAAAAAAAATTACACTTTATAAGTGAATCTTAAAGTCTTCTATTTTCACTCATTTAACGATCATAAATATTCACAGCACTAAAATAAAATTATTAATATTTAGAGGCTTTAGTAGTATAAATAAAGGTTATTCTCTATATATATATCTTAAATTCGAGTAGATGAGTCTACATGGTGTAGGTATAATCAATAAATTAAGAATATATAAAGCAAATATTGCTTTATAATCACATCCTAAAACTATTAAAAAAATATTCACATTTATTGTTTTCCCACTCAGCCCTTAAATATTACAATACTAAGCTTATTGATTTAGGGTTCTCAAAAATCTTGAGAAAATAATTTATAGTGAACAAATTTTGTTCTTCCTTTTGTCCTTTATTACTATCGATCCAATTTAAATATATTATATTAATTATTTTTTGAATGGTCTGAAGTGATTATAAAATAATATATATTAAAAAAATTAATTATTAATAATTTTATATATTTTGAAAATAAAATTATTCAAACTCAAAACTTAAAAAAAGACAATTATTTCTTTAATGATTGAGGTTCCCCTTAACCATTGGCCTCTAAGCGACGAGATTATCACTTGTATACTCCTGGTTGGAATTAAATGGAACTTATGACCTTAGTGGACCGTTACATCCTAATTATATTGGCCCAACTATTATTTTTGTGGTCCATATGCTAAAAATAATTTAATTGGATAAAAGTCTTATTTATATTAACATAGGCTTTATATTCATATTTAAAAGGTATAATATGAAAATTCTATTTGAATAGTCACTTTAATATCTATTTTTTAATTAGTCCTCATCATTTCAATTTTGGTCTAAATAACTCTTTTTTAAATTAAAATTGGTGATTGACAAACAAGCAATAATCGTTATTGACGTGAATACTCAAACAACGATATATACAAATATATATGAATGCATCAGCAAATGAACTACAAAAGGAATGAAAACTACTAAAAGACCATCGAAAAATCACATATTAAAATCAAGCGATGTGAGAAAATTATCCATGAACGCAACTGCGCATCTCAATCCAATATGAGGGTCCAAAGCAGGAAAGATCGTCATGATAACAAATAAGTGACATCTTGATCAATCGAGACATCATCAAATCCAATCCTAATAAAAAATTAAAAATAAAAAGAACGGCCAAACGACTGAAAGCGTGCCAAAAAACAGAAGAAACATGTCATAAAAGCAAAGAAAAACGTGTTATAAAGGTAAAGCTATTAAAAACTAGAAATCAAAAGGAAAACAAAGATGTAATGTAAGAAAATAAGTGGAAACAAGATTTTATTTTTCCTTCCTCTGTCACCTCAGTTATTGCAATGTATTTTTTATTTCATCGTAGAACTTTCATTGATGTCTCCCTATATCTTTGTTTCTAGAAAGAAAAAAATCAGAACTAAGAGAACGAGGATAACGATATCTAGATTTGATTTTTATTTGTTTCATATATGAGATGGAAATGAAGACGATGGACAATGAAATAAAATCAACAAAAAATAACTAATAAAGAAGAGTTTGGACAACATAGTTTGAAATGAGGAAAGAAGCAAACACTAAACCAACGACAATCGATGGACAAAACAACAATCACATCAGTGGTCGAGTGATGTCGAATGATGATAGTTGAGGGAAGAGAATGAATGACGATTGTTTTTTATATTGAAAATTAGGGTTTAGTGTTTTATAGTCAAGGCAAGAGAGTGAATGACGGATGGTTTAATGTGTCACGTCAATATTTTATTATTTTAATTATGGACGTTCATAATAAGTGATTGATTTGTTATAAAATGATAACGTTAGTAATCATTTTGTAACTGTTGAAATTTTAATAGGGAAAACAAAATTTATTCAAACTTTAGTGACCTTTTGTGTACTTTACCCTTTTTTAAATAGTTGAGATGATTATAAGTAGTTCCTAGTTAAAATCTTTCTTAATTATTAATAATGTACACATAGTCTACAAATATAAAAACTCAATCCCGAATCATTTAACACAAATAACACTTCTTACTATTACCAGTAAGGACACTTAATAATTTCAATTCATATATAATTTATATAAAATAAATATCAAACTTAACTATTCAAGAGTAAGGGGCTGCTTGTTTATTTCAGAATGATTAAGCTGAATTGAATGATTCAGAGGCTCTGTATGAATTAGCTCTGAATGTGACATGTTGTTTGATAATGGCTTTGAATCATTCAGAATGTACTTCTGTATTAAATCATTCAGCATTGTTTTGTTGAATCAGTCAACACTGAATCATTCAGAGGTACGAAACAAACACGCTGAATGCTGAACGGTTTAACATTCAATGCTGAATGATTATATTAAGAGACAAACAAACAGCCCCTAAGTCTTTTTTATTATAAATAGTTTAGAATGATTATGAGTACAAACCGTTCAAATTACACTATTGCTAATCTATTCTCTAAACGACGCCGTTTATTGGGGTAAGATTCCAATCTTATCCCTCTCACGATTCTAAATAGATGGTCAAACTTGTGTTTCCCTAAACTGATAATTGAAACTCGAGAAACCAGAAATGGAGAATCCAACTGTAATCAAGCTAAAGCCAATAGAAGCAACCCCAGAAAGCTTCAAAGAATTCGGACAAGTCATTGAAGCATCCCCTGATGGAGAAGAGTGTGGTCCAAACGATGCTCAATTAGACCTTTCCAAAGGAATTCCCAGGTCTAATTCAACACTAATCCTTCATTTCTGTATGTAATCCGTGTTACAAATTTGTGTATTTGTCTTATATTTTCTGGGTTCTGTTTCATGCTTGGGGTGTAGAGGAAAAGTAAGATGAAATTGGAAGCTTAAAGTTTTATGGATTTCAAGATTGGGTTTTCAACCCCCCTTTTTTGGGTAGAAATTAGATGAGAATCCATACAAAATGAATTTTTCAAGTCAATCATTTGAACATATTTTTGAAACTCTTTTCAATTAGAAAAGCTGAAGAATCGGGATAACATAAGAAATTGAGTGTACTAATTATCTAGTTGTTTACTTTTGCATGGAGAAGTTGCCCACAGTTTGATTGGATCGTGTACTGGAATCCATCATTTTCCATAGATTGGTATTTTAGCTTAAATGTTGGACTCGTCACATTCTTTTCATTACAATGACCTGACAATGCAATTGTAATAGGTTTTACATCATGAACCTTCGGAACCGACCGCATAGGTTTTCGACGATTACGCATCATGCGAGTGTGACACAATGCCTTGGATCTATCGGAGGTCATGTTTGGTATCTCGGAGTTGCTAAGCCATCCTTGGTGGATTCGAAAGAAGTTGAGAAAGAAAAGGGGAAGATGGCGGTGCAATCTCGTTTTGGTCATTACTACGTGCCTCCAGCCATTGATGATGTTCATGTTTTCAGAATTGCAGGTCCTAAGTTTATTAAACTTAATTGCGGAACATGGCATGCCGGGCCTTTGTTTAAAGCAGATGCAATGGACTTCTACAACTTAGAGCTACACGATACCAATGTGAGTTCTTTCTGTCTTAAACTATTTTTTCTTTCTTCGATATTTTCAGCTAAAACTTATGCTTCTTTTAGCATTCATTACAAGTCAAAGACAGGAAACTAACACTTGAAACTCTGGCTTGCTTCACAAAGTCTTGAATTTCTCTAATAAAATTAGTTTTTTTTAATTCATTGAATAAATAACTTAATCATCATTGGTGGAAATAAATTCGAGTCATAAAAGAATGATCTATGGCTGCAAAAAAAATTTCATTTTTCCGGTTTATCCATTGAGTCGGATTACTTGTTTATTAACATTGGACATGAACGATGTTATCCAGACAGGGTAACTGTAGGATATATGTAATCACATATGCTTTGTTATGCCAATTTTTTTTCTTCATTTTTCCAGTTTATACATGGAGTCGGATTACTTGTTTATTAACATTGGACATGAACGATGTTACCCAGACAGGGTAACTGTAGGATATATGTAATCACATATGCTATGTTATGCCAATTTTTTTTTTTTTTATTGAAATGCCCTTGCCTAACATCTAAGTCGAACACATTCGGACATCGTAATGGGGATTTGACTTTCCAAGGAAGGACCCTCTAATTTCTAAATTCCCTTGAAAGACGTATCTATATATCTGATACTTGAGTAAGTCAAGTTTTGTACCAGGTGTGTATACATATATATATATCACTGAAAAATATTACTAAAACATGATGCAATATGGAAAAATAATATGAATAACACTTTATGCACAATTATAACACAAACCCGATATACAAGTGCATCGATTGACAGGCTATTTGAAGATATTTTTCTGGTTATAATAGGTAGTGGATCATACAAATCACTCCTTCAAGGAAAATGGAGTCATGTTTTCATTTGAAGACTAGCCGTACCTTTCTTCATTGTTGAGCTCATCATCAATGGAAACGAACTGGTTCGAAAGGAATTGCAGATGCCAGAGATGTCTGAAAATTGTCATTCATCATTGGAAGCTAGTTCTGAAGGAATTGGAAATGTCCGATCATTTTCAGAGTTGTGAAAACTTTCCATATTATTTTATAATTTATAAACACGTGTGGATTTTGTTCTTGTTCGAGTTTCATCCTATGTAAACCGTTCTTCGGACTTATTTTGGTTTAAGTTCTATTATGTGTGGGCGGGTGGGTCTATTGGTGTTAATAAATTCTCTGCTTGTTTGGTTTGTTCATCTGCCTGTTGTTTCATGCTTTCATGGGCCTCTGATAGGGGTATACATGAACAGAGCGTTCAGTGAATTATTTATTTATGTTTATTTATTAAGCTAAATAAACGAATATGAATAAAAATTTTAAACTATTGTGAGAGAGAAAACTCTTTGGAGAATTCTTTAAGCTATTGTGGGAGGTAACTCAACACCCTTAAAGAATCACTAAAAAATGATCGAAGGCATCTCGACACTCTCAAGAGAAATGCTTCTAAAAGGGGTGGATGTATCTCAACGCTTTGTGACCAGCAATGGTGAAACTCATATTGTTAAAGTGGAGGCATCTCGACTCTCTCTTGACTTCAGTGGGGAAATTCCTTTAGTTAAAGTGGAGCGGAAGTATCTCGACACTCTTAGCCAGAGACGATACATTTGTCTGGATTTACGTTGTCAGTTACTAGATTAACATGAAGTCAATATATGTTATTTCTTCTTGTCTTTCCACCATTCGAATTGAACATTAAGGACATATGACTTTGAAAATCAAAGGGACCCCCGCCCATATATTTGATTTCTCTAAGTCAAATATAGGAGCAAAAATTTTAAAAAAAATATAATAAAAGAATCTCATTTCTAGCTTCTAAAATTTTGATGGACGAGTAATCATGTCGAAAGGCGACAAAATTACTTTCGACAAGAGGAATAAAATACTTTTATTTCAAAACCATCCAACAATATATAATGTGAATTTGTTAGAGTTTGACTTGAATTTAGAGTGACATAAATTATTTAATGTACAAATATGGTAAAATAAGAAATCCAGTTTAATTAAAAGTAGAAAATTTTATTAAAGTAGATTTATATTTTATATTGTTTCCTTTGTAATCAAATATATATATATATACATCCTGTAAATATATACTAAGGATTAGAGTTAGAGATTAGGTTGTCCATGAGGATTCCGCTTGTATTCTTTTTCTCTTGTCATTAGTGATTTTTTCCCTCTTCTGCTAGTAATTTTTTTCGAAAGGTTTTTTCATGCAAAATCTTGGTATCTATTTTATTGAGCGATCATTATGCATATCGTTATCTTCTAATAAACTGGTATCAGCATCCGAGTTGTTTGACTTGATCACAATAATGCCATTTTTGAAATATGAAATTTCACCGTTGGGTCGCAACACTAGATTAAAGTTGTGGAAGGTAGAGGTACAAAAATTTCTAAGAGCTCTCTTATTCTGATGAAAGGGAGAGAAAGACTGTCAAATTTTATATTCTGCAGGATTCAACAATTATAGAAGATAAACTGCTATTTTTTTCTTTCGTGGCAGAGGAGGATTTTGTGTTGAACAAAACAATCGTTGGCACAATTTTGAGAGCAAAAAAATTGTTATATTCCATGAGCATAACAAATTTGAGAAGAAAACGAAAGTTCAGTTCTATGGGCATAACAGATTCAAGAAGAAGAAAATTCAATTCTATGAGCATAATAGAAAAATTAGAATTACCATTAATGATTGAGATGATGTTGTGCATGATATTGCTCGTAATGAACAAGGTTTGAGAAAAATTAGCACTTAGGATTTCCTTACCGATGTGAAGACTAAATTCAAGTTTGAGCAAACTTTGGATTCAATTGGTAATCATTGTTGAAAAATACCCCTCTAAGGGATTTCATGGAAGAAGTGGAAAATATGTTATCAAGGTGGAGAACTTGTTCGTTGAAGTGAAGAATTGTTTTTGTTGAGTTTGGTTGTCTTGTCAAATTTGAGTGTTTTGTCTCAAAACCTTTGTACTTTCAAAATTTGCGTCAAAGTGGATATTTTTTAGAGTTTGACTCGAATTAAAAGTAACACAAATTAATTAATATATAAATTTGAGAAAATAAGAAACCAAATTTGATTAAAAATAGATTTATACTTTATATATATTTAGTAATCAAGTATATATCCCTATAAATAGATATTAAAGATTAGGGTTAGAGATTAGATTGTCTATGAGGGCTCCTCTTGTATTCTTCTTCTCTTGACATTAGTGAATTTTCTCCTCTTCTGCCCGTGATTTTTTTTGAATGGGTTTTCTTCGTAAAATCTTGGTGTTTATTTTATTGAGCGATCATTATGCATGTCATTATCTTCTAACAAGATTTACTTTGTACTTTGTTTCATGATTTTTGAAAAGCTTCTTGAAGAACTCGAGTAATAGAAAAAAAGATGGTGAATGTAGATTATTGTGTTTGGTGGTCGAATAAAGTGTTTAAACTATGATCATAAAAGGTAGCTTCTTTAGATTTTTTTGATTAAATTAATATTTTAATTAAAGTTTTGATAAAATTGATACTTTGACTAAATTTTAAGGGTAAAATTAGAAATTATTATTTTAATATGTTATACACTACTTTAACGAGAGTTAATGTTAAAGTAATATTTTTGTGATAAATCAATAACATATATGATTAAATTATAAATGACCATCTAGCTCAGTTGGTAGAGCACAAGGTTCTTAACCTTGAGGTCGTGGGATCGAGTCCCACGGAGGGCATTTCATAATTCGGAGGTCTCTAACGGAAGCTGCTCTCAACCTGGTGTTGGGGGTAGCCTACTATCTTACCTCCCCCTTACCCCATACATATGGGAAAAAGGGACAGCCATTTTTATTAAAATATAATTTTAAAAATTGAGTGGTCTGAATCAGAAAAAACAGAACAAAGGTTACCACTAGCCTGTAATTTACCAAAAGTAAAATTATTTCTACTTATGGTCAATTTGTTTCACTGAAAATATTTTTCGAAAAATAAAATATGAAAAATGAATTACATTTCTAGAAAATATTTTACAGAAAATATTTTTCAGTGTTTGGATGGTACATTGTAAAATGTTTTACACTGTTTGTTTAATTTTTCTAAAAACAGTTTTCAAAATTTATTTTTAATAAAGAAACATACATATTCGATATGTTTTTATTCTTTACCTTTTAGTTTTATTAAAGGTTCATTTTATTTTTTATATAATTATATTTTATAAAAATTGTATTTTTATAAGTACATCAAACTAAATATTTAGATAATATTAATAATTTATGTTGATTGTGTTATAAATATACTATTTTAGGTTTAAAATCTTCATGATGCTTATTTATTCATATTTTTAGAAATGAATTTCAGCGTATAATTAATATTATGTAAGTTTATTTGATATAATATTAATAATTTATTAAAAATATATTATAAAAGTTTATAAATATTATGTAGGGTTAATTAATAGTACACCACATTAAAACAACAATAGTACATAACATTGTAATAATAATAATAGAATCAAAATGTATAATTAAAGGGTTTATCACATTAAAACAATAATATCCAATCATAATAATACAAAGTCTAATTCATAATTAGTGCTACAACACATCAAACCCCCTTCATAACAAGAAAATATACTAGTAAAGCAACTCTTAAATCGACCAAAAACCCAGAAACAGACACTGGGGAAAACCCACAATAGTTATTCATGCTACGACATAATTTTTTTTTATAAGAATAGTAGGCCTCGTTATCGAACTACTAGAGTATCTCAACGGACATTTGAAAGAGAAAAAGAGATACTCAAGAAACCAAATACACCAAGGGTTCAATAATACCAATTACAACCAGAACAACTAAAAAACTAACGACAAAACCATTATAACAGCATGCACAAACTATTTAACCTATCCCTATCTTAGCAGTTCATCCGTTTCCCAATTAGCTGCTCTCATTACATGCCTATCAGTAACACCTTTCTCCACTACAAAGGAGACAATGTCTTTCACCACTGAGTTGAACAGCGGGGTGCAGGAAGTAGGGCTCTTAATCCACTCCAAAGCCATCAAACAGTCGAATTCTAAAATGAGCTTACAACACGCTGAACTCCCCCACTCCAATGAAGAGCAGAAACCTCTTTTCATTGCCAATAGTTCTGCCAAAACTGGAGGATCTGGACCAACACTCTCGGAAAAAGAACCCAACACCACACCTTTCTATTACCTCACTTAAAAGCTACGACAGAAATATGATAAAATGTAATGACAACAGCTCAGTTAAAAGCTTTTGTTCAACAGTTGAAATTACAGATAACACAAGTTTCCTTTGCTATAACCTCACTCTGAAAATTAGTGAGGAATGAATTTCAATAAGGATATAGAGTGAAGAAGCTAGAAGAATCCAAGATTGGTTCACACTAAGCTCTTCATATGACCTTTCAGGTTATAGCCTTATAGGAAATAGCACCTTGGAAGACGAGACATTTAAACACTGCCGAGGAAACATGAGCAACTAACTTGGCCATTGGAAAAGCATTCAGTAACTAGAAATTCTAATTTGAAAGGATAAAATTGATATCTTCAATATAAATAAGAAGGTAATGAGGAGAGAAAGAGTCAATCTATAAGGAAGGCAGAAAATCAGGCCAACTACAGCCTACAGCAGCATTATAAGAATAACAGCCATAACGATCCTTTACCTTGACAAAAATGTTGTATCTTTTACACGAACCCTACTATTTCTGATGCGGCCAAGTATGGGAAACTCTGCTATTCCCAACGTTTGTTCTCTCTGTTAACCAGAAAATTAAATGAAGGAAGATTCAATCACACAAGTACAAACCAAATAAAAGGAAACCCAACATAATAAACTAAACAGAAACCTTTACCGCAGCAACATTCATGGAGAATAAAACAGAAGTTAGTTTTTCATTTACCTCAATAAGATAGGGCAAATCAAACTTGCAAATGTTATATCCAATTATAATATCAGGGTCCACTTCACGAATAAACTCCTGCAAGGAAAACCTTCCTATTTAAAAAAAGGTGCGGTGACAGAAAGATTTTCTTTTCATGTAAGACTAATGTGAGATTACCTATGGTATTCAAGGAACTGGTTTTGTAAAATGGAAATTGATCTTAATATTAGCTTAAGAGCCACTGAGAAAGAAAAGTAGATTGCTGGATGTAAACTTAGGCTTACTGGTAATTTTCAATGATTTCTTCAAGGCACTTATGTAAATTGCAGAAAAGCCTTATATTTGGCTTGAGAAAGCATGTGTTTTCAAGTTTTCGCATTTTCGGAAGTTTCTCAATTCAATACAAATGATTTTAACAAATGGAATAGAAGAAGACAACATACAGGTAGAACAAGGGTGAACCGGGAAGTTGCTTAATAAATCTATTAAAAGGTTTAGAACATGTTTTGAACAACTAAAATAAGAAAGAAAAAAAGAAACACTTATCGAGAATTTTAATAATACACACAAATGGATACCTTCTTTTTTATGCCCAAGTATTAAAGTAAAACAGAAGTTTTAAGAACAAAACCAGTACCCTCCTTGCAAAGTAACTAGATTTGCTATCTGGTAAGAAATAAAAGAAATTCTTCAGAACTAGCGAAAGAAAATGATCAAATAGTTTTCGATCAATCCTTCATCAACGTGAAGTCAGGATCCAAAGAACCAACATACATTTTTCCCGAAATCAAAAGGGTCGATTGCAGATATGAGAAATTTTTGACTGAAATTAGCAAATGGGTTTTCCATTACAGATCTATCTCAAACAAGAAGAACCTAGAAGATAAAAAGAGAGATTTACCTGAGAAGATGACCTGGATCGCGAATGATTTTGGGACAATAATTGCCGGTGAGAAGGAGGCCACTGGATCGCCGGTGAGAAGGAAGGGAAAATGACGAGCGTATGTTAAGGGAAAATGACTTCTCGTTTTCTAAGGTCCCGTACGGAATATCCAAATGGGTGGAATGTTTTTTTCCCGGAATTAAGATACTTACGTTTGGATGTGTAACATTCCCAAATACCAGTAAAACACCAATATCAATAATGCTATTTTTTTTGTTTTTCCGGGAATCTTAATCCCCATCTCCATTTATTTATTCCCGTTCCAGATGTCTAAATTATCCTTCTCTCTGTTTGTTTGTGATTGAAATAAAATCTTCTTTTCTTCGATTTGGCGAGAGTTGTTACAAGGAGATTCCATCACTTGTCCAACGAACTTCTTCTTCTGTAGTGCTCCACGAAGACATCGCAGCTAATGACGATGAGAACGTGAAGCAGCTGAAGGAATGCTCTGCTCTGTACTTACCCTTGCAAGTTAATAAAATCCCCCCTCTTTTTATTTTTTGAATCATACTCTAAACCTTAGTTATACCTCAACTTTTTTTTCTCCTTTTTGTAGGATTATCTTGTTAAGAGCAACATAAATTGGAAATCTTGTCAAATGGGTATGCTTTTAATCCTTTTATTCTCTCGTTTCTATTAAAAACTACTTAATTAACTTGGCTCTTTGACCAATTTTCTATTTTTTCCCCTTAATTTTTTTATTTTGCAGAGGTTCAGGCTTTGAAGGCATGCCCTGAGAGGAGAAAGAAAGAAGTGTGAAGTGAATTTTTTATGTTGTAAGAATGATGAAAATTACCTCAACAACTCACAATTTCATAACAATTTTGTATTTGTTTTTGTTTTAAATTTGATTTGGCCGAGTAATGTAATGCAACAACCATTAATAGACTTCATTGTTTCTTGATCTTGAACAAAAGACCCTACTGAATAATGCTTAATTCTTCCACAGTATTTGTCTTGCTTTAGAATATTAAAAATTCTCAGTGAAAATCAACACTTCAAAGATAATAGAGATAATGAAAATATGCACAACTTTGATCTCTATATATCCATCATTAGGGAATTACTTGACATGTGCAAGTGAGACTACTACAATATATACTGCATTATCTCAACTTTTCTATGTACAAACTTATCTTTTTGTTTAATTGTGATTCGTCTTTTTCCCTTATATAAGAGTTTTATTATAGACAAGTAAGATTTTGCAGTCTACGTCAATGGGGCAAACCTCGTCCTTGCTCCAAAGGAAAATTATCTTCTCTTCCAGCAGTTAAAAGATGCAACAACTCTAGCTAGTGTGGAAATATTCTTCTTGCTTATCTCCCATGTTGCAATCCTTTATATATGAAAAGGTTGAATTACAAGTGATCTAATGATCAATGAGAAAAAATGTTGTCATACTAGGAGGGGTCTCTTACTAAATGGACAGCGTAAAGAGCGACAGTTATCGCTTTGTTCTATGAAGAAATGCAAGGTATTCATGGAGCATAACACCTTGCAGCATGATTCTTGAATACCTTGCATAGTGACATTCCTTTCATAGTCAGGTGAAACTTGGGAATCTCCCGATTTTTTATTCTAGAAGTGTGATGATGGCTGCTAATTTTCATTTGCCGCATACGGATGACGGACTGCAGGGGATGAGGCGAGTCTGTAGAAACTTGAAGAAATGACTTATGTTACTGAAAGAAAAATTACTAAATTATTGTAAACTTGTATGCATCATCAAATTGAATGTTTGCCTAGACCTAGTCCAATTATTAACTTCGTTAACACCCTCTGCTCTGAATCTGTAAGTTGTTTTTGCCGATCTTCTATTTGCTTCAGGTTAAAGCTGTTGGGTGATGAGGTTTACTGATGTTCTTACTTGATGTGATTGAAACAATATGGTTTATCATTAAGGTCACCTTCTTCATTGATTAGTAATCATGGATATTTTTCATTAATTTGCTACTTATTTAAAGCTTAAAATAATTATTAGTATGAACACTCATTTTTCTTTTTCTAGCTCTTTAGTATTAGATGTTGTTTTACTGTTTTCAGAGAGTTGGTTGCTTTTTGTGTTATTAGCAACAATTAGTATAGTCAGATATTATGGAATATTAGACTACTGGCTTTGATAAATTACACTGTTTATTTTTCAGATTAATCAAAATATCTTTTTAGGTTCTAATTTTACTTTAGAACACCTCAAAATCTGCCAGAGTTTGGAGGTACACGGAATAAGAACTCCTGACGATGTTTGTTTGTTCATACGTTGCGTAGGGGTTGGTTGAATTGATTAGTCCTCTTTCACATCTATTTTTAAGTTCAGGTTTATAATCGATCCATTGCCATAGTTAAATTGTCATGGCTGATAGTATTCTTATGTTGTTGTCTTAAGGTGCATTCATGAACTATCTTACTTGGGTTCGGGTGTGAGTTTCATAAATGGATGATGTGTCCAATTCATAATGTTTGATATATTTAAGTATTCATATGTATTTGGGGTACTTGGAGTGTCGCATCCCTGTACATATGAGAAAAATAAAGAACCAAAGCAGAATAATTCTTGAATGTGGTTTTGGATACCACTATTTTGACTCCAAATTTTTTCAGAATCTCAAAATGGTACCGATACCATTGTCTGGTATCGATACGACTATATATAGAAGTATCGATACTCCTTGGATGTTATCGATACCGTTGCTTTCCAACGGTCAAAATATTTTAATTAAAATTAAAATAATACATTATATATTTAAATACTCAAGTAATGTATTATCAACAAATAGAATTTTTATATAAATAATTTTTATTTAAATATTTAAAATTTCAATTGTTAAAAAATATAGAACAAGGACAATTTGGTAAAATATACATTCCAGTAATATTTTATTATTTCAACCAAACACTGTAATCTTACATTCCTGCCAAACCAACCAAACACAGTAATGTAACATTCCCAATAATCCTATTCTCTGGTAATATTTTATTCCCACTGATAATCTTACATTCCGTGAACCAAACGCACCCTAAATGGTAAGTTGTTTTACGGTGAGAATGAAAGATTTTTACGTTGACCGTAAAATAGAATACAGTTGGCTTCCCTGTTTACTGGAACAAAATAAAATGTTTTCACTCCAAACAAACAGACCCTTAATTCGGTACATTAGAAACTACTACGTGGCTAATAAAGCTTTGATTTGTCACATTTTAAAATCACCTCAATTCTACAGGTGTCGATGAAATAAAAGACATTCACATAAATTTCAACACCAATTAATGACGATTATCATTTCCCTTATTCAATGATCTTTGTTTCACAATCACATACATTGTTTTGAAAATTGGACCGGACCGACCGGTTCAATCGAGAACCGCTGTCTTATCCGATCCATTATATTCCGGTTGAACCGATGCTAGTGAACCGCTTTGAACCGTTCGAACCGGTTTTGAACCGTTCGAACCAGACCGGACCGTGAACCGATTTAAGTTAAATTTTTTATTTTTATTTAATTTTTTAAATAATTATGACATCATTCGATTCTTATAATTAGTCTGACCGATTCGACCGATTAAATCAATAAACCGATAACACGATCGGTTTGCTGATCGGTCCGATTTTGAAAACCATGATCACATATATAAAACACAAACCCCAGCCTCTGGTCTCCGCTCCTATTGAAGATTTAATGAAAAAAAAAACATCTTAGAAATCTCAATTTTCAAATTTCTCCAAATCTTGAACCCTAATCCCCTTATTTCTTCCCCAAATGTCTGTCTCCATTCTCCAACCGTAGTAATACCCAGGTAAGGACTCTTTCATTTCCTTTTCCGATTTGTTCCCTTATTGAACATGAAAGATGGTGGCTTGGAGAATAAAAAGGAACTAGAAAATTCAAAAAAACAATCAAAGTCTTCCAAATTTCGTAGCAAAAGTGATGATTTTGCCCTTGCAATTGCTAAGGTTGCCGTCGCGCAAGTATGCGAAAGCGTAGGTTTTCAGAGTTTCCAACACTCTGCTTTAGAAACATTGTCAGACGTTACTGCTCGATACATTTATACCCTAGGAAAAACTACGAATTTTAATGCTAATTTGGCCGGGAGACTGGAATCGAATGTCTTTGATGTTATTCAAGGGTTGGAAGAGTTAGAATCAGGTTTAGGGTTTGCCGGTGCATCCGATATTAATCGATGTCTTGCTAAGTCGGGGTTTGTTAGGGATATTGTTCACTTTGTTGGTGATGCGGCGGATGTGCGGTTTGCTTATGATGTTCCGCGGTTTCCGGTTGTTAAAGAGCGGAAGGGAATGGGGAGCTTTCAAGAAAAAGGAGAAGAACCTCATGGGGAACATATACCTAGTTGGTTGCCAGCCTTTCCTGATCCTGAGGCTTATGCTACTGAATCGACTGTAGGGAATGGAACGACCAGTGGCTCCGATGGAGTGAAGACTGGGTTAGTGAGGATTGAAAGGAAGATAGAGTGGCCGTTGTTGAACTTCCAGCAGCAGTTTGCTCGTAATGGGAATGTAGGAGATTCTTCTTGTGTTGGTGGAGATTCTGGTAAAGCCTGGGAAGTTTCTAACAGCAATCCATATCTTGCTGCACCTCTGCATTTTGGGGAAAAGGAAGTGGATGTGTCACCTGTTGTTCTTCCAACTAAGCTTTCAAATGAAGTGGCTTCGAGAGATCCGGTTTCAGAAAATCGTTTCGTGGGAAATCATGTCTCTGTGCTAGAGACATTTGCTCCTGCTATTGAAGGAATAAAGAGTGGGATGTGTGAATATAGCAGCAAACAGAAAAATGTCCTCTATAACCAGAGGCCCACGGTTCATTTTAAGATTGGAATAGGGAAGAAGTCTTTAAACACTGCACCAGATTTCATTTCCAAGAACAAAGATCTCCAGAAGATTGCATACTGGTTTGAAAATGATAATGAGAAAGATGACAGGAAAAGAAGAGCAGAGAATTTTATGAAAGAATCTATGGAATGTTCTCAAGAACCAGGTCAGTTGTAAAATAGGGTTGTTACCATTTTTATGGATTTTTCTAAGATGGCCCCTAGAAATGGACAATGAAAGCTACCAGATAGAAGTCCTCTACTTTGACATCTTTCTTAAGGATTCTTTTTAATTGAAATTCTTGTTTCTTCTTTGGTGGTCTTAAACTGATCATGGATTCATCAGTTTCTGTTTCAGCCTGAATTTTATTTGTACACTACCTTGAAGCTTTACACGGTATTGTATTAGCATTTGTTATTAGTGAATGCAGTTTAATTTTACATCACTTGCTTTCTGCATAATTTGGAGAACAAACATGATTTGCTGTAATCTATCTTTAACACACATGAATAATATTTTAGACTTATCAAACTATTAAATAAATAAAGGTGGATAATAGGGTTGTATAACACAGATTATTCAGATACCAAAAGCTAGTGGACCTCATCATTTTAATGATCGAAATTCTACTAATTGTGAACGACTTTGCCGATTTGAATTTCCTCAACAATTTATCTTCCAGAGTTAGGATATTGCTTCTGACACTAGAGTTTGTTATGTTCAACTTCATCTTATAATTAGTAAATCCCCAAAGACGAAAGGTATCTTGTTTAGTATATTCATTCTATAACTTAATTTGAATTATCATCGAACTTAGACTGATGCTTTATTCAACAAAATCTGATATATATATATATATATAATGCAAAGGATAAAGTTAGATAAATGACGTAATGTACTCAACACACTTTAAAGCCCGAGGGACAATCTTGGGAATGAAATTGTCACCATCAACAATACAAGCCTTAAACATCCTGGCTGGTGGGATTGCAGTAATAATCTCAGATTCATAAGTGAAAATTCCCATGGTTATATTCTAGTGATTTTGAGAAGTGTTTAAAGAGGTTTTTGGGCCGTTGACATGTAAATCGGAAGATGATGTATTTATAGACTCTGAGAATAGTGAAGAGAGCTTGCAACTTCGATCCTGGTTTGCATAAGGATCTTACGATTTCCTTGATTTGAAGCTCAAGGTTCTTGAATGCAGTCAATATCAGAAGAAAGATCATAAAGAAAGATCTCAAATATTTAAAATACATATGTAAGACCTTAAATTCAAATGCTTGGACTATTAGGAATGTGGTAAATTCTAAATATAGGTTTGCATTTGATATATAAGTTACTGCTATCATTTCTGGTTTCATCCTTGTATGTCAGTTCGTGCTCTCTGCTTGGCTTTGAAGTAAGATATACGTGTAGTTGTGGTTCTTTTATTTCTCTGATTAAGCACGCAACAAAGAGTAACTTGCTTGATATTCTTGTTTTGTATGGACACCATCTTTAGCAATCCTTAAGTTCGTATATGTTCTGCTTCTCACATGTATGTCGTGATTACTAGTAAAGAACAAATAAAGTGACTGTTTGTTCGGTTATTAAAGTGGTACTGCCGAGTCATCGATAGCTTCACTACAGAGTTTTGTCCTTCAAAGATTCAAAAGATTTGCCCACCATATCGTTATTAGAACTGATCAATGCTCTCTATGCCCGAAAGTAGTGAAGAAGAAATGACAGTGGTGCTTTTCAAGCCAAGAACAAAGAATAATGGTTTCATACAGCACGTGATCAAATCCAATTTAATCCTTACTCTTCTACATTATTGGAGTCCTAGTCCCTATAATGGTGATTATTGGATCAGACTGTGTGAGTGAGTGTTATGTTGTAGCAGAGTTCGAGGACAAGGATTTTTTCTTCAGGCTTTAAATGTTTGAAGATCATGTTAAAATTAGCTAAATGTTAGGTGTTGGGTTTGTAATGGACAGCAACCAATGCATGGAGTACAAGCAAACAATATCTGAAGTTTCTAAAACATGATTATCTGCTCTTATCTCGTTCTCCTCTTTATATCTCTTAATTCCATCGTCGTTGTCTTCATTTATTTAATGTTTGTGATGATATACAAGAATGGGAGAAACAAGGGACAAGTACGAAGTACGAAGTGGAAGCCCCTCACTCTATCACTTCTGATGACTGGGTAGGTTTTATTTCATGTTCAATGTGAATATTCTGTCTACTCTACTGAACTCCTAAACTGTTGTAATATATATGGAGAAAACACACCATGTGAAATTAGGGTTTATTTTGATATGCTTGTTGTTGAAGAAAATGCTTACCAAGTTCGAATTGGCAGAAGCAGGATAACAAATGGGATGATTTAGAAGACCACATGTTCACCACTGAGGCTTCTATTAGAGAGTGATTCCACCAATCAAGACGAGAGTAAGGCACCATGCTGCATTGCTTGAAGCCAAATCAGGAGTTTGATAAAAAAAATACGGTTGAATCTAGGGATGATACTAAAAGTTTTGCTCAACCGCAGTCGGGAGAGGATGAATTGATGGAGGCCAACGAAACAGTGATCCACTTCGGTCGGATGATGTCGAGTCGACAGAAAGCGCAAATCAGCTTCCGCGGTTAGAAGATGTTGAGTCAACAGAAAGCTCAACCAAAAATCGAGTAGACGGAGATGGTATCCATTGAAGATGAGTTGTGAAAGCTTGAACCTGAGTAGTTTACTAAAGATTGTGTTGAAAGAGAAGCAACTTGAAGGACTGGAACATTGTGAGGAAAGACCGGAAGAACTCAAAAGGGAAGAGAAACAATTGGAAGAAGTGGAGACACAATATGAACACCCGTTCAAAGAAACGGAATTGAAAATGCAGAAATATCATCAACTGTCCCTCTCTGGTACCAACACCAACTCTTCCAGGAATTCCACATGTTCAGGAACCCCAAATCAATCCTATATCGACTTCTCTATTAACTTTGCTTGTGCAGCTTGGATTGCGGAACCCCCCCAATCTATCATATATCAACTTCTCAAATACATCAGCTTGGACAGGCACAGCAGTCAACTTCTCATACACATACAGCAACTCTTCCAGGAGTTCCGCATGTTCAACATCCATTACAGAAACCCACAGTCAATCGTATATCTAGTTCTCAGTTAAGTTCGCTTGACTAGTTTGGATTGCTGAACTGCCCAATCCACCATATATCAAGTTCTCAAATACGTCCATTGGCGCAGCTTGATCCAGCACAGCAGTCAACTTCCACAACAAATGTACGGATATTGGCGCATGCTATGAACGTAGCGCAGCCTGGACTGGCAGCAGTAAATTTCCCCCCTTCAAATGTTCATATATTTCCGAGTGTCAAGTACAGAATATGTCTCTGGCTGTTATTACAAGTCAGTTGAGTTAGCGGTTACCGTAGTGAAACTTTCCTGTAAATAGCCATGCATTATACACTGTAAATAAGCATGAAAATGTGAGATTTCTGTATAAATTAACTTCAGAAATTATTAATACATGATTAGAAATCCTACTTCAGAAACAGTTGCCTGCTGTTGTAGATTTGCTACTTCACTACTGATAACTTCACATAGTAAGTCTTTGAAGATCAACCTCTCCATATCTAATACTAACCATGGAATTTTGCTCCGAAAATCTGTCCAATCATTCAAATTCTTTTTCCAAGTACAAATCGATTTACCTATTCTTAGGCATAGCATCTAACATGTTAAGAATATCGATGTTGTCCTTAATGATTTGACACTCGAACTCTTTCAAGATGTTTCCAATACAATTTTAAAAAAAACGGAATAACATAATTGTAACTCTTAGACGTTATGGCCATATCTTGAAATTCACATTAACATATATATTGACAGAAAATATAAACTTTTCGAACTTCTCAATAAACATCGTGTCAAGTAACTGAAATCAGAGTATAATAATATCCCAAAACAGTTTCAGATTTATAATATGTAGTGGCAGAAAATTAGTGTAATCTCATAAATAAAACCAAATGTTCATAAAATAATTTATGCCAATTATAAAGTCCAAAACCCCATAAAAACATAACATCTCAAAACTGGCACAAATACATAAAACAATCAACTCTGATTGAAGAATTTATTAAAAAATAAGTCAGAAAATGTTCTACGGTATCTAGAGAAATATACTATTTGTCGATCCTCCAAGTACCAGTCGAAGTCTTATAAGTTGAACGAATCTGAAAAACTAGAGACTAAAAGAGTGAGCTATAAAGCTTAGTGTATCTTCTAAGTGTAATATATATTAATATTAAAATATAGATAATTCAGTCATGATGTAATACACAACATAATAGTCATGAACAGTAAAACCAATTATTCATCATCAAAATATCATAACAAAAGTTCTCACAGCCTTGCCTTTCACAATAAATACACAAGATAGGGACATTACCCTCTGAAGAGGCACTCAGGACCTCTATAGATGGACCTGAAATAGAAAATAAAAATCAGAATGGGGACCTTACTCTCCGAGAAGGCACCTGAGTTAACTTTCGAAGAGGAACTCAAAACAGAAATAAAAAAATATGATGAAAATCTTCCCTTCCAAAGAGGCACTCAAGACTTCCGTAAATAGTCTCAATACAAAAATTTACACCATTATATAGATCATACATAATACAACGTTAATCGGGAACTAGATATACTTGTGTAATATATAACAGAAAAACAGAACATGCTCACAGTCATAACCATACAACATAGTGTAATTATGAACTGTCACGCACTCTAGGTGATCTAATAACAAGTGCATCAACTAAACACATCATGAAAAAAATAAACATATAGTACAATTCAAGGGACACACTTATATCGGCTAAACGATACTAGCTAAGCTTTACGCTTTCCACGTTTGATAGTACTAGGTCTTACAGAATGAAAATATAATAACAATGTAGTACTATATGAGTACAAAAATAATACATACTTAAATGAAAACGATTAGTAATTCGCCGTTAACAACATTTATGTGTATCTCGAGTTGAACGTGTGAAATCGAGCTGAGTCAGACGGAGGTGATCTGGGTCTACTAGAAAGCGGTACAGAGACATATGATTACCTTTAGAATATAATATTAGAGAGTAAGACCATTAGTTCTAAAATTTAACATAAATGTACTATAAAGCAACGTAAGAAACAAAACGAGACTTTTGAGTTAGAATTTGACAAAACATACCGTAAAAATAGATTCGGAAAGTAGAAAAACATAATGTCAATGATCAACAGAAAAAGCTAATGATAAACGACTAAAGTGAACAGTTAATAGGCCAACAATCAATGGGTCATATCAGTTTAAGTTATTAGTTTAGGTCTTTTCGAGTCCGTTCAGGTTTGGGTCAGATTGGTGTAACTCCCCAAATTGGTTTGACCGGTTTGCTGGAATCCACTCCTACACGGGCAGCGACGATGCTTGTGGCGCGTAGAATGACCTCTGATGACCGGAATCACACCAAACTTTCTAGATTTGCATTTTAAAGTGTGGAGAGTCCCTTACCTAGGTTGTTTCGCGGCGAAGTACAACAGAGATGCACTATTTTGGAAAACTCAAAACTACACCTCCTCCCAAAATGGTGACAACGAAGATTTGGAGAAAGGAAGGATACCCGTTGGAGACAATAAGATGAACCGAACGGTACAAGCAATGATACTCACAACAACTTGATCGATGACGAAACGACAAGCAACCTAAACTTCAAAGTGAGGGGTATGAGAGAGTTTTAGGCAGCTGGAGAATAAAATAAGGGAAAAAAGAGAAGAAAGAAAATGAAGAATATGATATTTAAACACCCTAACCCTAGGTACAATTACATAGTCAGTCTTCCATATTTTTGAAAATTTGAAAATAAACACCAAATTGGTTAACACTTCAAATTTAATTCCCACTTTGGGGTGTGACAATAATGGTTCCATAAAATCATACATTTCAAGCATCACCATGTTGTCCACATGAGACATATAAAAAAAAACTTACCTTATTAACAGTGTATTGAAGATTAGGTGAATTTACCATGAATTCACTATGGTGCAAAGATGTCTTTGTAAAAAAAATCATAAAAATATTAGCATGTTAATTATTTTTATTTTCAAACTATAAACACTATTCTCGTGGTCTTCTTACCCGACTAGGTACTATCTTCAACAAAAGAGTCGCCATACATACAAAACTTTAAAATAATAATGGCAGAAACATAGGTTTTTTTATCGAAATATCACCCGTACACATGATAATACATGTCAGGCACCCTCTTTTAATATTACCGATCTAGCATCATTTCTGACAAAGCGCGGATCGCCATCCGCGCTTTCACGGGGTTCTGTCCGAACTGACACCACGTAAAGAAACGTGCAGATTCGCCATACAAGGTAAGGCGCGGATGACACGTACGTAAGGCGCGAATAATGATCCGCTCCTTACACGTTGAATTATTAGTACTCTATTATTACTTGAGCAGCTCGGCTTTTAAACCCCCTCCCTATAAATAAGAATTCTCTCTTAATGCAAACGTCACCACACCAAAATTACTTGCTTGTTTTTGCTTTTATAAATTACTTCTATTTTTGTTGTAAGGTAAAACTATTTTATATTTTATTATATTTATTTTATATATGATTATTTGAATAAATTTTATTGTACTAATTATTTTATATTATTTTTTGCTGTTGCAAAATTAGAAAGTGGGATCATACATCGAGATATTTTTACGGATACTGTAACATTATGAAATTATGTTATTTAAATTATTGTGATTTTTTTAAAAATTCGATTAGTTTATATTTAGTTTATATTTTAATTCATATACTATTTATTATGTTATTTAAATTATTGTGAATTTTTTTAAATTTTTAATTTTTTTACGGATACGGACATAAAAAGGGCATGCGATACCACGCTCAAGACTGGAGAAGAAGGAGACATACGTCGATAGCATTTTTTTCGATAGTCAGTAGCTCAACACATTTCCCTATATATAAATGTCAAAACTGCAGAGCCCCAACTGAGTGTGTCAGTTCTGCGAGGTGACGCAATTACATACAATGAACTTGGTTGAGTGATTTATCGGGCATCAAGATCCCTCCTATGAGCTGTAATATGCAAGTCCGTTCATATATTTTAACCTGCTCTTCGGAGGCATCGCGACTCAAATGTTGGAAAGTTGTATCCAACCAATTTAACGGTATTCAACTACCGTTGAAATTAAGCGGGACACCTCCAAGATACTCCTCGCACAAGGAATGTCAATCACGTCTGTCACCCCAAAAATCACATCCCCACCTAGGGGTGTAAACGAGCCGAGTCGAGCTCAAGTATTGCCGAGCTTGACTCGAACTCAAAAACTTTAAATGTAAACTCGACTCAACTCGAAAACTCGCAAGCTTAAATTTTTCAAGCTCGACTCGAACTTGAAATAGAATATTGAAACTCGACTCGAACTCAAAAAAGCTCGAAAAAACTCAAACTCAAAAAAAATTCATGAGCTCAATTAAAGCTCGTTTTTGAGCTCGATTCAAGCTCGTTTTTTAGCTCGATTCAAGCTCGAAGGGTTTTGTTTTATTATACACTCCACTTTACCCCTTATTCCCAAGAACCACCGATGTGGGATATAATTCACATGACCAACTCAAGTTCAACCATGCTGAAAAGGCAAACGTGCGTATTTTTCCATTCCCGGTTGCTCATCATATGGCCTCTCCATTACTTTAAGCATCCTCCGGACTTCTTCGAAATCACCCATTTCAGCTGCATCAATAGCACTCTGACATAGGTAGTTCCTGGAACATATTTAGGGTTCACCGAGTCCATAGAAGCTTTCCTCTCCTCATCCGAGATGCCACTTGCAACAAGCTGAAGGGAAAAAAGATCTTGTGAGATTTCAGCTATAATCAAGGTTATCACTTGAATAAGGGCATATTCGTATGACCAAAAACCAATTATACCTCTTGAATGTAGAATTGTACCGCACAAGAGTAGCAGAGAACACAGAATCAAGGACATGGACAAGGAGGGGAGTAATGGGAGAGACAAAGAGAAGGAATGTGAACGAGGTAGGAGAGAAAGTGATCGTGAGAGGGATAGGGAGATAGAGCCGTCTACTAGAAGCAGGAGTCGACCAGAAAGAGAACGTGAGAAGAGTCGGGACCGTGAGTTTAGAGAAAGAGAAAAAGAGAGAGAGCCAAGGGAACGGGACAGAGAAAGCAGGTATCCTTTCATTTCGTTATCATTTACATTTGTTCAGCTTTTGGCTTTTTTATGCATGTTTGTCTTCTTACATTTGGCTTGAGAATTGTTGTAATAGTTAACTGTAAATATTAGTTTGGTGTATATAATTAGTT